TCTCTCTCTCTCAAATAAATCTGATATAAAAATAAACAAAATCTCCCTCTAGCTTTGCTGAATGAGGAGTGTTGTGATAGATGAATTTCAGGCTCCCCTTCAGTGGACCGTAGGGAACTGGCAGTCTGGTTGGTTGTCCTCTCCTCTCCCTCTCTCCCTGTGTGTGTGTGTCTGTACTCCTTTGACGTCGTAAGCCGGTGTCTCCCTCCCTGTCCATCTCAGCTCCATCCCTCCTCCCCTGGGCTGTACGAGCCGTGATGTCTGCCGTCAGGGACCGTAGCTAAACTATCAGCCCTGTGACAGCAGGAGGAGGGAGGGAGAAGATGTGTAAGCCTACATAAAACCCAGTTTTTTTTCTGCTATATGTCATCAAAGCTTACGTTTTATACTTAATGATTTATGTATTTGTCCGTGTTTTCCCCATCAGACTCAGATATTGTGCACAGTTACCTTATTTTTAATGCCGAAATATCCTAAACAAATCTTCCTGAATGGCCAATAATGTTTTATATTATCTTGTTTTTAGTATTATTCTGCATTGGTGTCATATGTATTACAGTCCTGGCTAATCACAGCACCCACTTGTGGCATTTACTGCTCATATTTAGGCCTTCAACTAATGTTTATGGATTAATCAACTGTCAATCATATTTCCCACATAAGCCCAGGTTGATATATTATTTATTCTGTTTGACTAGTGGTCCAAAACCCAAAGATATTCTATTTAATGTCAAAGAAGATATAAGAAAAACTAACAAGTATTCACATTTTGAGAAGCTGGCGCCAGTGAAAAATGATAAACAATTATACATTTATTTTGTGTAAACCTGCTAATTGATAAAAGAACTAATCGCTTCATCTTATCAAGTACAAGCTCTTTATTTGTCCTGTACACAACAATCACATTAAGGAGCATTTTGCACTGTTTCTCTGTCTTTTCACATCACAAGACAAGATGACCTATAAGGAAAATATCTTGATTTTAATTTGTTTGTCCTACTTCTACCCAGTTGCATGACCATCATACTTTGTTTTACATTCATCGGTGGCCAATTGTAACATGTAATGAATCCTTATAACAATGATAAGAGAGGTGATATATTTAGTCATAATTTAGGAGATTGTACATTCATGTTAGGTTTACTATAAGTAGTAACAAACAGCAGAGACTCTGACTCAGTTTAATGTTATTTACATGGACTCAATGTATGTGTTTGTAACTTAAGATAAAATCTCAAAACAAGTTCATCTTTCCTCCAGTTGCTCACATTTTCAACACTCATCCACATTTACCTTTGTGAGGCAATTTATTACCTGAAGATACGCAGCACTAGATAAGTCATGTATGAGGTCCTAATAGATGAACATCCATCCATCTTTTATCTGTATCCATTTATCCTGTGCAGGGTGACGAGGGTTAGGTCATCAGTTCATCCACATAACGAAACCAGTGCACCCAGAGGACAACCACACAGGCAGACTCAACACAGAAAGATATCGTCTAAAGCGAACCCATTAAAGGCGAAACTAGTTTCAAGGTGACATCTCATTTCAAGTCAGTAAAGTTCAGTAACTAGATAATGGATCCACTGCTAGGGTTTTACATGACTAATACACAAAGCATTAACAACTGAGGCCACGCTGAAAGACACTCTGGATAAAGGCATACTGCAAGTTAGACATCAGGCAATCAAATGGTAAAGAGGGATTGTTTCCTCTAAAGCATACTATAGAGAAAACACAGGGCGGTAAAGAGGGCAGGAGATACTCTCATATCAGAGAGCAAACTGTCATGTCAAACTCTTCCTTTAAATGTGGTTTAACAAGTAAGTAAATTTTAAACCAGGTTCTGATCAGAGAATGATTAAACAACATTACCATGTGATCAGACAACGTTTTCAATACTCTACTGCTCAAAGAAAAAAAGATTGATACCCAGCCTTTAACTTTCCTGGATTTCAATGTGTTATAAGATGATGACCTGAGCTGGTTTACTGGTAGATAAAGTAGATTATTATTTTTAGTTAAATTAACTTTATCTCATGATTATCTGAGGAAAATCTGGTCTAAAACCCAGAGCCTCTCTCTGATTGCCGTTTTTCATGCGGGCTGTTAAAAAGCAGACGGTCCCTGACATCAAGCGATGCAAAATCCGCCTTTTGTTCTCGCCGTGGAGCTGGCCATGGTGCTGAAATCAGTCTACTCAACTCGTCGTGACACATTATCATGGCTACGATATATATATATATATATCTCCCCCCCACCACCACCTCATAATAAAGACATTATTTTAAATAAGAGCCTTTTACTAAACGCAGGGGCCGTGATTTCACAGTGAACACACACACACACGCCCTCTCTGAAATCTCGACAGCATGTAAACAATGAGCCCACATGACAGCAGGCTTGCACACACCCGACCTGCGCACACTTCAAAGGAGTCACGATCTGGACGTGCTTGGCTTAATAAACATTACAGTGTTTATTTCTGAAAGGGGAATAACGCAGCAGAACCTCTGGGGGGCCAACAGCCCTCCACCGTTAATTCCTTTATTTCTAACAGCAGAATATCTCCTCGGCTTGTCTCTAATGTTAAGACTGCCATCTGCCATCAGTCGCTAAATCCGCCTTTCCGCCCTTCAACCTCCACATAAGCCTCACAGTGCAGGGGTCGAGGCGCACACACTGTGTCCACCCTGACTTTTGATCAGGTGGCCGATCAATTAATAATAAAGGTGTGTGCGCTTTGAAAAACGTGATTTGTGCCACTTTGTCACAA